CAGCGGGGGCAACTGTCATCATCACAGTCATTGTCTCTGATGGGGTGTCCACCGTGAGCCCCACAAGCTTCAGAACAGTCCTGCCAGGTGGGTGTTCATCACCCGTTTTTCTCAATGAGGAAACTGAGTCTTCAGGGCAAAGGGCTCTGATTCGGTAGCAGAGGGAAACCTGGGAACCATTCCGGGGAATTTCCTGTCCCCTTCTAATAAGTCTTCATCAAGCACCTTCCAGCCCTAAGAAACCTCAGTCTAGTTGGGGAGACACACACACACAGGGAGAGTATTAAGGTAACAGAAAATGAAGAGGGCTGATGGGAGTTCTTTGGCAAGACCATGTCCAGCTTGTGGGGGGGGAGGGGGCGGGTGATAAAGGAGGAGACAGGCACCCCAGGCCCCAGAGAAAGGAAGCATTTCCACTCCCGCAAGGCTGAGTAAGATGTGGACATGCTGAGTTGTTACGGGGGAAGAGGGGTGAGGGAACATTCCAAACAGCATGGCAAAGTCCATAGGTAGGAAACTAAATGCTTAGGAAAAGTTCCATTTCATGGATAAAGCTGAGCTTAAAGGAGCCTGGTGAGAAATAGGACTGGAGCCAGATCACGGAGGATCTTGACAAATACAGCTAAGAAGTTTGGCCTGTCCTCCTGCGTGGCGGGAGTCACTGAAGGTTTTGGGCAGCCTCATGCTGCATTACGAAACTCAACAGTTGTGTGAAGATGAACTGGTGGGAGAGGGGCACAGGGAGACTAGTGACAGGGCTGATGAAATGGTCCAGAGGAGAGATGAAGGGGGAACGGAAGGGGAGGGCCAGTGGGAAGCAGATGGAAGGAAAGGACTTGGCAACAGATTGGATTTGTGAGCAGGACAGAGGAAAGCACTGAAGACAAAGCTAAATCCCAGGCCTGACCTCCTGGCCGGCCCTCTCCGAGGCCTGGCTCTGGCCCAAGTGCTCACCCAGGCCGAGTCTCCAAGTCCAGGCTTCAGAGCCAGGATGTCTCAGCTGGAACAGCCCAACCTCCTCATTGTACAAGTAGGTAAATTGAGGCCCAGAGAGAGAGACTCACACAGTATGTTAATGGCAGGACTAGGATTAGAACCCAGGTCTCTAGACTTCCCATTCTTCGTGCCTCTACAGCTTTCTGCATATCCTTTCCCCAAGACTTCTATCTCCCCTCCAGCCCGCGCTCATGGGAGGTTCTCCATTCCCTAGAGGGAAACTGAGGCCCAGAGCCACCTGCCTGGCTTCTCACTTTGTCAGGAAAAACCGGTCGCTCTCCGCTCCCTCCCACTCCATGTGCAGGTTCAGCTGCCACAGTCCAAGGCCAGGCTCCCCGCAGCCTCCCCCAAAGCCTGCGTGGCAGCAGCGCCAACCCCACACTGACTCACCCCTGCCTGATGCCCCTTTTCGTTGCAATAACATTAAAGGAAAGTTGAGATGAGCGAACCCTCAGACCCTACAGCTCTTCCTCTAGTTTCTTTTTGTTTTGCCCTAATTCTAAAGACCTGGGTCCTTCCACTCAGGACACAGGCCAGGATCCAAGAAAGTATAACAGGCAGGAACAGAGTGCCCTCGGCCCCGTCATCCTTCTCAGATGGGTGTGGGCCCGCAGCCTCTAGGTTATTGATTAAGGAGATAAAAATAACTCTGAGCTGGCCTGGGGCAGCCACTCTGGGGCTGAAATGACTGAATAAGGCCCTCCCTCCAAGGGGTGGGGGAGTGAGGAGAAGAGAGCAGAACAAAAGAGATTTTTTGTTTGTTTCGTGTTGTTGTTTTTTAAAGGAGATTCTAGAGCCAGCCTGTCAAACTCGTGGCCGGCAGGCCGCATGCCTCATTAGGCCTCGAGTTTGACATGCTTGTTCTAGAGGGCCTGGAAGGGGATGGGCGATGGAGGGCCGGTGTAGGAACCAAGGAGGCAGAGTACTGGGAGAGCCTGCCAAAAAGAGATGAAGACTCAATGAAGGGCTTGAGAGGGGGATGAGTATTCTAGGTGGCAGGGCAGCAGGATAATAAAGGGAACTACCCCTATGTATTCAACCCTCTGTTTCCCTCAATCCCAGCACCAGCCCCTTGTGAGGCAGGAGCAATTTTGTCCCCATTTTGCAGATGAGAAAACGGCCTCAGAAAGGTGTTGTCACTGGCCCAAGGTCACAGTGTATCTGACCTCACAGCATGCTCGTCTAAACTGAGGGAACTCTGACCAGAAGATGAGCAGGGAGAATTGATGGATGGGGACCGGGGGCCCAGCTGAGATTCATCTCCCCTCCCCCAATTCCCGTGGTTAAGGGCCGAAGAGAAACCAGTCCACCGGGAGTTAGCGGCAGAGCCGAAATCCCTGGGCTGTGTCCCTGAGCTGTGTCCCTGAGCCTACTCCAGGTTCCCTTGAGCTACCTTGCAGGGCCCTTGGAGGAGGGGCCAACTTGGCCCCAGGAAGCCCTGGGGATGGAGGCATCAGAGGCCTTCCAGGGGCCCCAGGGAGGAGGTTCAGGCTCAGGTCATAGAAAAAAGCCCAGGCACCCCAGCTCTCTGTCTCCTAGCAACAGCTGGCCTCCCCAGGGAAGGCACCTCCAGCAAAGCCTCTGTTTCTCTAGAAGAGCTGGGTGAGGGCAGAGAGGAGGGGCAGCAGAGGACCCACAGGCTGTCTCTGTAGGTGCTGCTGCAGAGGTGGTCCCAGAGATGTGCAACCTTCTCTCGCCCCCTGGTTCACGGGTACACAGAGGTGCTCCTGAGAAGGTGCCCTCCCATGGGCAGCTGTAGGTCCCCAGTTCCCTCGTGTCCCTTTCCCAGCTACTGGGGGAGTCGGGGAGTTGGGGTAGGGCTAGAAAAATGATCAAACTCAGCTGGCTGAGGGATAGGGCTTTCTGGGATGTAAGGAATGGGGCTGGGAAGACAGGCAGGGGGAGAGGGATGGCTGGGCTGCCAGCCAGTGCCCAGGAGGAAACTGCCCCTCTACTAGCACGCTTGGCGGGCCCCTCGGCTGCCCGACCCCCTCAGCGCCAAGCCGCACACGTGGTTCCAAGAGCCCTGCAGGCTTTTCATCACCAGGTGGCGCTGTCCTCCTTGAAGCCCCTCTCCCTGCCATGTGGAGCCTGGCAGAACAGGGCTGGGAAAGGGGCAGGGCTAATGTTCAAAAAATAACATTGGCACAGCAGTACTGGCTGTGAAAACAGTGAAACACGTGTCCTATTGGTAAATAGCCACTACTTTGAATCCCCCTCCAGTGGCACCAAGCAGCCCAGCCTGGACATTCCAGCCTTCCTGGATCCACCAACTAAACACTAAAGCAGCGGTTCTCAACCTGTGGGGCGCGACTCCTTTGGGGGTCGAACGACCCTTTCACAGGGGTCGCCTAAGACCATCCTGCATATCAGATATTTACATGATTCATAACAGTAGCAACATTGCAGTTATGAAGTAGCAACGAAAATAGCCACTACTTTGAATCCCCCTCCAGTGGCACCAAGCAGCCCAGCCTGGACACTCCAGCCTCCTGGATCCACCAACTAAACACTAAAGAGTCTGTGCCCAGGGACTCTTTCCCCCTACCCATGTGGGAGTCTGTGCTTGTTTCACAATAAATTTTCACCTTTGCTATAAAAAAAAAGTCTGTGCCCTGGCAGTAGGGGGTCCTTCAGACCAACTCTGACTGGTGGCATGTTAAATATTTGTACATCATCCCTGGGAAGAAGCAAATCCTTCCCAGCCCCAAAAGCAAGCCAGGCTCCTCAATCCCACCAGGGTTGAACAAACTCCCAAATCTAAGCCACAAAGCTTGCACCGAAAGACCTCTGGGTTTTGAATGAGGCAGATCAGGCTCAGGCTATGCCTTGGTACCTCTCTTCATCTCTTCCCTTAGCTGGGCTGTAGTACATGGGTATGAGGGGGTGTGATTTGGATGGTTTCTAAGGATCCTTATTGCCACTTTCACTGAGCTGTGATTCCCTGATATCTCACACACACACACACACACACACACACACACACACACACAACTGCCTTTTCTTTTCTCTTCCCCCCAGAACTGACCCGTGACCTGGAGATGAGAGAGGCCCAATCTCACCAGCAAGGTAAGAGAAGGATGACTGGTGGGGAGGTGCCATGGGGCCCAACAGGTCACCTTTCCCCACCAAGCCTTCCATGTCCCAGTCCAGACTGGTTGAGCACAGCGCAGGATGTCAGCCGCACGTGTGCAGTGAGCAGCCTGCACCACCATACACAGTGCCCTGTATCTGTGTTCCTGGCGAAAGTAGGAAAATGAAAGCAGGTAGGAGATGGTGTCTGGTAGGTCCGGGCTGCATTAATTCCTCTCTGTGACCTACCTCCCCCATCCTGCCCATCCTTACGCAAATGATTCTCATGATCAGTGTCCGTATCCTCCAAGATGCTGAGTGTCAAGATGCAACACAATGACAATATGGGGTCCTTGACTTCAAGGAACTGAGTTCAGAAGAGAAAGTTGACACAAGACACATTAGCAAATCCCTCATTTTACAATTCCCCGGCCCCAAATATTTCCCCACTAAAAGATTTTTTTTATAGGTTATTAGTTCACCCATTAAATGGCAGGTGAGGTGGGGAGATGGTACTCTTGGGGTATCGAGTTTCAGTTTTGCAAGATAAAAAAGTTATAGAGATCTGTATGCTTAACACTACTGAACTGTACACTTAAAAATTGATAGGATGGTAAAAATTTTATGTTGTCATTTTTAGCAGAAATAAAACTTTTTCTTTCATGGAAAGGGGCCTGGCCGGTGTGGCTCCCTATGAACGTTGAACATTGACCTCTGAACCAGGTCATGGTTGGATGTGGTTTCCAGCTCCCTCCCCAGCAGGGGACGTGATGGAGGCAATCAATCAATGATTCTCATGATTGAAGTTTCTATCTCTCTCTCCCTCTCCCTTCCTCTCTGAAATCAATAAAAATGTATTTTAAAAACATTAAAAAATGGAAGGGGTTGCATTGTTGAGATCTTAAGCACCGATTATATGATCTCTTACAATTAGGGACTGGGTGGTACCTATTGTCTCAAAGTACAGAACACATTACCTGACATGGATAGGGATTCCGTAAATGCTTAACTAAAAATGAATCACAACAGTAGTCTTTCTTAGCCAGGAGAGAGTTAAGAATGGCCTCCCTGCATATTGATGTGCTGCTTATAGATCAAGAGTTAGGGATGGGAAAGCTGGAAATTTAAGGCAAAATGTTAAGAGCCTTACAGATTGTTTTGGGTATGTGTGCATACAGATCTAAGCAGTTATAGATTTGCAGGAATTCTGCCCATTTCTTTAAGTGGCAACTATGGGCAACCTCTTGGTGCCTAGGTGCTTGGTGGCAGGGGTTACACATCCCAGACACCAGTAAGGGTAGCTCTGTGACAACAGCAGCTTTCATTCCACCTACTACCCTTACTCTGGAAGAGCTTTGGGGGTCACCTGGGCTCAAGGCACTGCCCCAGTGTCCTACTTTTTATCTTCTCCCGCAGTGGGCTTGAGAGCTCTCTGTGTCCTTTTTTTCTGTGAAAATCACCAAGTGCTTTCATATCCATTCCAGAGTCACCTTTTGTCTACTTTTTTTGTCGCTCTCATCAATCTATGTCCCTACACTCACTCACATGTGCCAATCCTGAGATACTGTTCCAGCTGAAATGAAGCTAATAATCCAGGAAGCAGGGGTCCTCAACCCGGAAGGTCCAGTAGAATTTTTTATCTTCTCCCACAGTGGGCTTGAGAGCTCTCTGTGTCCTCTTTTTCTGTGAAAATCACCAAGTGCTTTCATATCCATTCCAGAGTCACCTTTTGTCTACTTTTTTTGTCGCTCTCATCAATCTATGTCCCTACACTCACTCACATGTGCCAATCCTGAGATACTGTTCCAGCTGAAATGAAGCTAATAATCCAGGAAGCAGGGGTCCTCAACCCGGAAGGTCCAGTAGAACCACCTGGGAAAATTTAAGGAGTGCCACTTCCCAGGTTCCAGCCCAGAGGTTCTGATTCGACTGGTCTTTGGCAGGGCCCTGGAAACTTTTCTAAAGCTCACTGGATGGTTCCCCACTAAAAGACTGGATATCCTGGGTTGAAACCCAATGCAGTAGGCAAAGGCAAGCAATAAAGTAAACAAAATATTAGAAAATGTAACAAACTCTCTCCATGAAGCAAGGTTTTGCTCACTCACTCCCCTTTCCTGCCCCCACCCCCCCTCCTAACAGTCATCGCCTCTTTCAGGTCTCTCCTGCCACAGGGCTTTTGTACAAGTTGTTCCTCTGCCCCCAGCTCCGCCTCTCCTCCCCGCACTGTGTACCTAACTCCCATTCATCTTTCAGATCCTAGCCCATGTCACTTCTGGCACATCATGTATGAATCTCACACTTGTAACTATGTCCTATACCTCTCCCACTATGCTTGCTTATGATGTTTTCTTTATTTTTTAAATATATTTTTATTGATTTCAGAGAGGAAAGGAGAGGGAGAGAGAGATACTCATAGAAACAACAATGATGAGAGAGAATCATTGATCGGCTGCCTCCTGCATGCCCCACACTGAAGATCTAGCCCATAACCCGGGCATGTGCCCTGGCCGCATGCCCCATACTGAGGATCTAGCCCATAACCCGGGCATGTGCCCTGGCCGGGAATCGAACCGTGACCTCCTGGTTCATAGATCGATGCTCAACCACTGAGCCAGGCGGGCTGGGCTATGATGTTTTCTTATCCACCGTAGCCCCTGTGCCTGACACAGCGCACATAGTAAAGGCTCGATGAATACTTGTGGGGCAAATAAATGAATAAGGACAGTTTTGCATTTAAACTGAAACCTCCAGAATTAGAGGGGAGGGCAAGCAGAGGGCAGGATCGGCGCAAAGGCCTGGGGAAGAAAAAGGAAGGCCTTGGGGAGCGCGAGAGAGCGGGCCGGACGTGCATGTAGCCGGGGAGTCGCAGGGCTTCGTCCGGTTGAGGGGTGAACTGTCTGCACCATCACCTCTCCCCCCCCCCCCCCCC